AATCTCTAAACCATCGAGAGCACACCGAGGACACACGGCTAATCGAACGTGTATGTGCGTGGGTGTGTGTGGACTGGTCGAGCCGCCAACGCACACCACCCCTTTCACGATATTCCAAGCTCCCTGGACCGCGCGCCTTTGTACCACCTCCTCTTCCCAAATGGTCCTGACCGTCGGCGATTTCGCGCTGCGCTTACACGCCGCTTTTGTCCGCGTCTCGTTAAATGATGTATCGTTCACGGCCCCCAACGGCTGCCGTCGCCTGGGACGGCTGGTTCCGCTGGGTGTACATACACGTACACGGAGGACGAGTCAGTCAGAAATTTTTACCTCACCCCCGATGGCATTTCTCTTCGTTCCCTGGAACGTGCAATAAACGTTGAATGAGATGAATACAAACGTTCGTCGCCATCCACGATTTTCCATCGTGGATATTGAACTCTCAAGCATCGATCGCAAAACACCAGTTCGCCAATGGGGAATTTCTTACCACGTAAATTTTCAACTACCGAGCATCGATTGGAAAATCTCTTTTTGCCATGGGGTACCTCTTCCATGCAGATTTTTCACCCTTTTGTTCCGGCCATATCCGCCGCGAAAACGTATTTCACAAAAAAATGTATTGAAACCCAATTCTTAATTCTTCTTACAAAACAAAATTGACGCCTCAAGTTTTGCGATTTTGGAGAGTCCCGAAATCCTACAATGTTTCCTATTCGAGTTTCGAGAATTTAGAAATTAGGTTTCAACCCACCCTAATCGAGAGGGTTAACCGGTTCGATGCGAGATACATACTATCGAAATTGAACGTTCACGAGGACGATCGTTAAGGAAGAATTCTCTGTACCAATATTTTTCTATCGTTTTGAGTACACTTAAATATATATATATATATCGGACGCGCGGACAGGCAGTAATAACTAGACCGGCTGTTCATGCATTTATAGCATCCTCTCTAACCAACCGACACACAGAAGAAAAGGAGGACTAATAAAGACCTCCTAATATTTACATATTATTGTTTATATAATGAGACACCCCCTGTGCAGGAAATACATTTTGGACAAATTTGCATTTTTATAAGTGTCTTAGACTATAAATTTGCATAAACGTCTGCTAGGTTCAGTAGTGACACGTGTATAGGAACGGAAGTTGATCGCTGGACAACGGATTTTATACATTTATAGCCTATTACGGTTCTGTGAATTATACAATATGTAGAAAACAAAACTTTCGTTAGATACAACGAGTTTTCTATTCTATGCTGAACTGAATAAAATACTCAAGGCTAAACCTACCACGACCGGTCAAATGCCAGATTTTGCCGTTCTAATTCCTGCCTTTTTGCAGGATTTGATGGGTTTAACAGTAAAAAGGAGGAAAGAAATTCCTGGTTTTGTTCTTGTTTTCATGAATTGTTTTATATAAAATGTCCTTTTGTTCCTCACTAATACTTGTCACACACATAAGCTGAAAATGATGGATGAAATTTCTAAAATCCTCGATCAATAATGTGTTTACAAATATACAACTTCAGGTGTTCTCAAAAGTATTTATAAACAACCACTTGACTTTTATTTGTCAAACTTTAGATATAGGTAAAGCGATCTTCTCTATTTTTTACTGTTCTAGTTTTTGTTTAAGGAAGACGTACTACTACGTCAACCGACATCAAACCATTAATACAGTGAATACGTTATCCAAACAAAATGGCGACAACCCCGAAGGTGTCACGCTGCACTTCCAGCTGCAAAAGCTGCTTAAACTGGCGTAAGCCGTGCTTGTCGATCCTTGTTTAATGCCGCGCGAAATCGTCGCTAAATCAAACAGGTTGATGATCGCTCTTTACGAGGTCCTCAAGAGTGTAGACGGGCACGAAATCGTCGATCGAATACAGTCGATTCTCAAGGATGAGCTAGGGGGAGGTGAGGGGGGGGGGGGGGGGGGGGGGGGGGGGGGGGGACAGTACAGGTTTCGGGAGGGCGGAGATTAGCAATGTCGAGGGCGAATGTTCGCGCGAAGATTAGATACAACCGGCAAAGATGTAGTTAACGCGGTGGAGTCTAGCTGCGCTGATATACTAATTGAATTAGTTATTTCGAACCGGAAAGTTAAGGGCACGTCTACGCCCAAGTTTTGCAAGCTGAAATAACTCGGCGAATCGACGTGCTTGGCCGGGGGAGGATGGGTGGGGGTAGTGCGCGCAGAGCACGGCTCTGAGAAGTTCTTATTAACCCAAAAGTTTCGTTTGATACCGAGCATGAGTATTATTTAATTATCAATTCAGGAGGACGGGGGGCCGGTTGGTGACCCTGCATGCGAGAAACAGTCACTGTTAGGGTGCGTATCCACTTGTTGCGTATCCAGTACTCATACCGAATGGACCGAGTAATCGATATTAAAGCTAATGAATGTGAAGGTACATACATAGGTAGTTGTCGTCCAGTTATGTTACTGTGTTAATAAATGTTCGTTAATAAACGTTCATTAATAAAATATATCTTCGTTAAAATCAGAGATGAATAAGTTTGTTATCTGGATAAAGAATCTCTGAATAAAAGATAAGAAAGTACTTTGCCGTTTTCAACCGATTAACCATAGAAATTCCAATTTTTATAACAAAATAATAATTCCTCCTGAATGAGTCGACATTTGGCAAACAATTATTCAATCTCATTAACTGTTTAAATATCAGGATGACGCCCTTAGATAATACAGCTTTCCAATATGTATTGATCGAATAAATTTCTGTTCAACTCTGGTTGAAAGTATATTATATTAAGGAAAAAGAACTTCGCATTAATTTTTCTTCGACACAAGTGGGTATCGATACTTTTGATGCGATATTAAGTTAGATATCGTTACGTTTTTTCGATTGACGGTATCGGTTCATCCCTACGCACACCTTCGCCGAAAAGCTACTTCACCGTTTCTCGCAAATTCCCGTGAGCTCCTACCAGCTTCCGGTGGTCATCTGGTGAACCTGTATAAATAATATAACTGGCGACAGTTAAATTTAATGCACACAGTGATCTCAATTGAAAACACACACGCACACACTTGGTTAAGGGTCGACCGTACGACGACGTAGACGGGTAGGATTAGGTGAAAATAAAGAGAAACGAGAAAGAGAGATACATACGCAACAGCGAGAAGTTTGCAGTGCTGTTGAAGCGTGAGAGATTACGTGACGTCGAGCGTTAGGAAAGGAGAGGAAGCTAATGACATACCGGGAGCTGCTCTAGGGAAGCTGGGTCATTCCGCTCGCAGGGATTGGATATAGGTTCCACGATGATATTACACGACGATTTCAGCGGTTTTGCCTCACTTTTGGCGATGGCACAAGCGTGTATGTACGTGTGAGCGGCAGCTCCACGCCCGGTCCCTTTCCATCCGCGGTACTGTAACATTAGCAATCAAGCATTAGCGGACCGTTTGGCGACCAGTAAATCGAATTCAACGGCGAAACCGTTACACGCAGGTTTTTCCAATTTCTGTTCGTGGAACCACGCGGATAATCGAACGATTAACGTCGTTCAGCTGGCTAATGGTAAACGGAAATCTCCATACGTCACCCCGCTCCTCAGGCCCTGGATTATACCCACGTATTATTTCAAACCTCGATCGAAGACACGGAATATACACAGAGAATTCGAAATGGAAATCGGTTTTCGAGAGTGGTAAACCGAGAACAGTGCGACGGCGACGACGTGCTTGGACGAAAGTTATAAAACACGTTTCGTCCAGCGCTGGTGACAATTAAAATACGATAAAACATTTTATTACGGTTGGACGTTAATGATCGTGAAACTGTTCGCGAGGAAGGGACCCAACGACGTTAACTGGAAACATTTTATTCCCAACCCGGTAAGCTGAAATTGGCATAATTGCACTGAAAATTACTGTTTCCCGGACGAACTGAAATACGGGCCACCGAATAATCCCTGGTTCTTAAAAACGAAACCTCCCACCCCCTCTCCTCCCATCCCTGTGAAATGGGTATTATTCTACGATTTTCGACGACAGTCTGTTGATCGTCACGCACGGGCACAGTAAAATCTGAATAAAGACGACTTTTCACCTTAAAACAAACGCTAGTATGTTTTCGTATAATATATCGATACAAACATTAAGCAATAAAAAGGAAAAGAATCATCGTGGGGTGTAGAAAACGTATGAAAAACGAGTTAGTAGAAACGATAAGTACACATTTGTTAGTCCACATTCTTCAATTAACGACTTGCGTATATTCCATTTCAATTTTCTCACAAACGGAGTCCTATAAGAGGAAAGTTTATATTTTAGATTCGTTGCTACTCGTTACAATTCCTTCCTACTCGATTGTATTTCACAGAACTTGAGAAACGTGTATATAACCCCCGATGAAACTACAATCGACTCGCAAAACCATGTAACCAACACCCGATTCCAAGCGATAAAATCTTGGCCTGAAACAACGTGAACACCATGGGAAATCCTAATGAGCACCACTGCCACGGAACATAGTGGCATCGCATGCTTGGATTGTGGATATGTGTTTTCATCGACAGGATGCCCGAACGATCACGTGTCAATTGGTGTGTATTTATCGGACCACTGTCAGACGCTGTATCACTCGTACAGAGAGACATTGTGAATAATGTATACACGCGCGCGCGCGCATACACACAGATGCGGATGGCAATTGCACCGACGCCAGTAGAAAACTTATCATTTCAGGGATGAGTTTTCTGTAACTGCCGTACAGCCACGGGATATGATCGCGATCACAGAAAGCAGAGTACAAAAGAATTTATGGCTGTCAGAATTCATGGTGACTCGACCGATTTGTGACCTAGACTTTGACAAACTTGCTTCTGAAGATGGATCGCCTTGATAGGACTCACGAGAGAATGTAATTTATTAGAAAAGGGTATGAAATCAAACAAACAAACAAAAAAAAAGTAGCGGTGAAATAAACTGGCGTGAAGGGAACCGTTGCGTGATAAGCAGTTTCCTTGGTAAAATATCGATTTTTTATTCGGTACGCTATAACGATTCATGAATGGTGAATTAAGCTTTCTTACGTTCGTTTTTATTTGACTTCTCTTGTAACAAAATCTAAAACGTTTTAAGTTAGAGATTACCTTAATGTAAACTTTAGGAAGCTTCGATGTCACGAGCATCTTGGAACGCTGAGACAAGAGCGTTCAATTGCACCGGTTCGCTGCAACCAATTGCGACCCTCTTTTCTATTTCTGCTAATTTAATCACCAGATCAATGAGTATCCAGTCTGGGAATTCAACTGAAACAGAATGATTAAAGACTCGATATCGTACTGTGAAATATAACACAAATTCAGCTACATACTTTTATTTACAAACAAGTGAAGTTCCGTTAATATGTCTTGCAATGCAAGTCCTTTCTTCAGCTTTATGTCTTGTATTTCTGTGTAACCATATGTTAAGGAATATATGCTTTAAAGAACAATATATGCAATTGTATTTGCAGAATAGAAAAGGATACTACAGTAACACATTTCATACGACTCGTTCAATAACCAGTTTACAATATTCTTTATATCTATTGGAAGAGGGTGCCCAACACAAGTATACACATTCTCTTCTGTAACTGAACCAAAAGCAAGCCACGTACTTTGAAGAACATTCAAAACTTTCCTCATGTCCCCTCCACTTAGGGCTATCAATGCTTTCTTGCCATCTTCACTGACATCCAAACTACAACATTCATATTTGCATAATATGTATAAGAATTCATACACAAATAATAGACTTACTTTTCTTCTTTGATAATGTCGTCTAGTCTAGGCAGAATCTGACTTTCAGACAGTGGACCAAATCTGAACTTAGTACACCGGGACTGAAGAGCAGGTATGATTTTGCTCAGGTAGTTGCATATAATGCAAAATCGTACATTGTCTGTATACTTCTCAATGACTACAACATATTATTCTATTAGAATATATTCTTCAAGTTTTAATTTTGTTGGAATAACGCTCGCTTACTTCTTCTGAGAGCATTCTGCGCATCATTTGTCATAGCATCTGCTTCATCCAGAATAATTAATTTAAAACCAGATCTGTACATTGTACCTGTACTTGCAAAACTAAGAATTTGACCTCTAACTATACCAATACCTCTGTCATCTGAAGCATTCATTTCTAATACCTGAGTATGAAAATTAATTGTGTGTACAATGTAAAACAAAAAAAATATATAACCCAGAAGAAATGAAATCAAACCATTGAATTGAACTGAGCTGGTGTATATAATTTCCGAGCACAAGCAAGTATTGTACTGGTCTTCCCTGTACCAGGTGGTCCATAAAAGAGAAGATGAGGAAGTTGATTTTCGTCAATAAACTTGTTTACTGTGACAAAACAAGTTTACTTAATAGAATGTTGCATGATTTCATTGTATGAAATCTATGAATGAAAATACTAACTTGTTTGTATAATTTCCTCGTGAGATATAAGGTCCTCCAATTTCTTAGGGCGATACTTCTCAACCCTGAAGTAAGAGAAGCAAATTATTATTTTCACGTATTTTTACAACATCTTTTAACAAATGATTGTAAAACGAAATACATTACTTACCATGGTAAATTCATAACAGTTACTGCTTTCGCTGTCATGGTATTTAATATAAATTTTTATCATAAATACAATTAACGACGCACCGTGAGGTTAATAGCAACGCGTCTTGGCGTCTTGGCGGGTAACTGACACGGACAAAAACGGCGCCAACCACGATATTTCTCCTTCGAACTAAACGCTCTCATTGGTGGACGATGTTACCGAATCGAATCGAGATAAAAATTGAAGGGGAAGATATAACTAAAAATATAAAAATATTTATGGTAATTCAAGAAGTGACAAAAAAGGAATATCAAAAATACAGAGAATATAATGAACAATTTAGAACTGAACCATAAAACTCCTGACTACATATTACTTGCTAAAATACGGTTTAAACTAACCCTAAAGGAGTATCGAGACGATGAAGATTTAAAGAATGAATTCCTCGACATAGTAAATCGCAAAAACATGACCAAATACTACGAAGACGTATGCAGAGAATTAGATTGGAATATTGACGAAGACTTGCTCGAGAGAATGAAACACGCAAATAAGATTACATGGGAAGAACTGGAATCCTCTGATAGCTCGGCGTTAGAGGATTCTACAAAAAGAAATTGGCGGGAAAAATTAGAGTTCCTCTGTGAAATCGGCGACCTTGATCATGTCATGAGCATTACCAGTGTGATCTTTAAGGATGAGACCACTTCATCAAGTATCAGAGTCGAAGCGGGCTTCGGTTTATTTAGATTGGCATATCTGAGAAATAATTATCGCTCAATGGGAAAAATAATCAGCGAGATAACGAACCTGGTAGAGTCAGCGTGCGGATCTGGCAGCAACTGGTGTTGTCGTAACAAACTAAAAGCATACGAAGCTATTTATTGTCTAGCAACCCGAAACTTCTCACGTGCCACCGCACTCTTCTTGGACTGCACCCCCACATTCGAGTCCTATGAACTTTTATCCTTTAAAGAAGTAGTCGAATACACAGTGCTCTCCGGAATGATTTCCTTACCACGATCTGATCTTGACCGTCTGGTAAATGATAATGGACTCCTGCAACAGGCTCTGTTTACCGAATCCGTTAAGTACAGGGACTATTTTTGCTCACTTTATGATTGTCACTACAAAGAATTCTTTAAAAATCTTGCATGGATAGAATCAGAGCTGAAGGCCAATCCTTTGCTCCATCCCCATTATCGTTATTACGTGAGAGAGATGCGATTAATAGCATACTTCCAGCTCCTACAGGCGTATAGGACAATCAATTTAAACAGAATGGCAATAGAATTCGGCATGACCGAGGAATATATAGAGCAGGAAGTGGCACGTTTTATTGCAAACGGCAAGCTACATTGCAAGATTGACAAAGTGGCAGGAACAATTGTTACCGTTAGCACCGCCGGTTGTGACAGAGGTCAGGCACCTGATGCTACTTGCAATCGTGGACTAAGTTATCAAAATACGATCAAAAGGGGCGATACAATACTCAATCGACTGAAGAAACTTGGTCAGGTTATCGATTTTTGAATACAGTTCTCCCACCATAAGTTATTTAGATCGTTATGTCAGTGTTACTTATATAATGTTATAAGTATTGTTTGGGATCTTCTGTTGAAAAGTGCGAATGAACTATTACAAAAAAATGTTTATATCAGTTATTATAATACTTGAAGATACCGGTATACTGTTGCTATATAAATCGGTGTAGGTAAGTGGTCAAGTAAAATGTGCCCCATTTCTTCTTTACGTACTTATAGTACATATACATATACATATGTGAGTACATATGCATGGTGCCGATAATCGCATTTGTCTAACGGTCTGCAACTTTTGGAGTAAACTTTTTCTGCAAAGAAAACCATTTGTGGCACAGAGTAAAAAATATTTTGATATCTTAGAGCAAATTGTAATTCAAAATATAACGACTTTATTTGTAAATGTTTCCTAAATAATTTCGTAAGTATTCTATCAACTTAACCTTAATCATATATAACGTCAAAATAAACAATCGAAATAATTTTGTAACCAGAATCTAATCAGCATTTGAATAAACTATGGCTAATCAATTTCTGAAGAGATATCCCAGAATAATTAATAAAGGGTCAAAGGAAGTCAAACAGCATTTTAATTACTTGCTTGTATTAGACCTTGAAGCGACATGCAAAGAGTTTGAGAAATTGCAGCCCCAGGAGATCATTGAATTCCCATGTGTAGCATTATCTACAAAGAACTGGAAAGTTGAGAACGTTTTTCATCAATATATCAAGCCAAAAGTCCATCCACAGCTTACTCCGTTTTGTACAAAATTGACTGGTATTATACAAGAAATGGTGGAGAATCAACCACACTTTCCAGAAGTGTTTGATAAATTCTGTTGCTGGTTAGAAGAACACAATTACTTTAAAGAAGGCAATGATTGTGCCTTTGTTACATGTGGCGATTGGGACTTAAAGGCTATGCTACCAAGTCAATGCAAATTAGACCAAATAACACTTCCACTGTATTTTAGAAAATGGATAAACTTAAAAAGAAGTTTTTTCGACACAACAGATCATTATCCGCGAAGTATTCTAGCCATGCTTTCGTTTCTTGAACTTGATCTGGAGGGACAGTTACATTCTGGAATAGATGATGTAAATAATATGATTAGAATTATATGTTCTCTTCAAGAGAAATACAATACTGAATTCAAAATAAACACTGCACCAGATATAGTACGTGAATTTTTAAAAGGACGTAATAAATTATTTTAAAAATGAGGAATGTATTGTAAACTCGTTTGTTACTAATAAAATATATTGTTCGTATAAAAATGCAAAACTACAGCTACAAGCTGACTAATAAATATTAAGTAAATGGTAAGTATTAACTCTAATAACAGAATTTACATTCGTTTAACATTCACTTTTATCTGTACATCCAATTTATTATTCTCTGTATAAATTTCAAGCACTGCATTGAAACTGCGCTCGATTTTTCGTTTGCATTGTAATTTTAACTGAAAGCCTCTTCTTGTAGGTATCATTCCTTCGGCGGGCATAACACTTAAGTATTCTGTATTTGACAAAGCGGTTTCGAATGCTTGAGCAACAGTACAAGTACTTTTTATAGTCACAATTGCTTCCGTTTTCGTCGGTGGGGTTAAAATTACAGTGGATGGAGTAACTATAAAATTATCGGTATTCACTGCATGTTGAAACGTACTGCTTGCTAAGAGGGTTCTGAAAATTTTTCAATTGATCATGAATGTTTAAAAAATGTTGTACCGAATATGAGTAATTCAGCAGAAACTCACTCAGAGGGTAAAAAGCTTTCACCGTTTCCTTCGTATACACGACTATTGTCACTGCAGAGGGAATAAAACATTTGAGACTCGTCGGCATTGTCATGGAGAACTGTTAGAGTCTCATCGGCACACACTTCCATTGTCAGCATGATTTCATGTTGACGAATTCCTCGACAAAGGTCCCCAAGATTTTGCTACATTAAAATTAAGAAACCGATACAAGTTTGTTACAACAGTCAAAATCAATTGATTTATTTTTACCATTGAGTCTCTGATAGTATTTATGTCTGACATTAATTGTTCACCGGGGAAAGCTCTGCATATTGGATGAACTATATTTTTGAACGCTTCATTTTCATTACCATTTAATTCGCCAATTTCCTTCATTTTATTATATAATCTAGATATTCAATTTTCAATTAGCACCTCACAATTATATGATTATCTATTATTCATGTTATGCTTAGGGTCATGCCCCTAACAATTACTGCTCTACTGTTAGAGCTTCTAAGAACATGACCCCAAATACAACATAAGTCATCGAATAGTCTAAACTGTTATAGTAGTTACCTACGAATTCGCCAACGCGTAGGTTCGTCTCCATGAGTAATGAGTATTGTTCCTACATGAGATACATCTGATCGTTGTAATAATGCTAAATCTTCTTTTCGTGGATGAAATTCCAAAATCACCCACTGTGTTTCTTTTGGATTTAATATTAACTCGGTTGGATTTACGTGCCAACTCGAAACCATAGTAGGATATACAGCTGAAATAATTCAGAAACAAACTTAACAAATTAATTGTGATCAATGTACGTATTTGTTGTTAATTTAAACACCTTTTGGTACTAATTTTATTTTCACATATGAACACAAGTCGCCCGTATTTTGTAGCTTGAGTTTCGCATTCAAAGAACCACTGGAATTTAGTGTGCCAAGGGATAACCACATCTTTCCGCTTGTATCCTTAAATGCTTCAGAGATTTCGACTCTGCTATAGCCACCATAGCCATACAAAAACAGCTACAAATAAAGTATGATGGATGGATACTAATGGGGAATCCTTTAATCAACATAGATTATATTCAGTAGATTTGTTTACCACTTTTGACGGACGGGATTCACCACAGTCTTCCCTTTTCGGCTCATAATGTCTAAATATTATTTTACCAGTGGCTGCACCCAAATGATGGGGATTAAATACAACAGACAGTGTTCTGCTTTCTGATCCTTGTAATACTAACACCAAGCTTGTACCAGCCGCTTGTCGTTCTCGAAGAAACTGTAATTAGAACAATTGATTTTCTTCCATCTTGATGTAACGTATTACACTAGCATCTTACCCGAAAATTCTTCTCGCTGTCGGATATAATAGTTTGAAGCTTTATCTTATTATTGCTAGTGTTGCGAATAGTGAATTCCTTAATTTCAGACTTTCCTGTTTTTATACTATTCCATACCAAAGCAGCATGAGTTGTTCTTATGGGAATTTTCTCGCCAGCAACTGTCGATCCTGATACCGAACTCAGTGGGGAATTTCTTCCATACATTCCCGACCTACTTAACATCAGCCATCATAGCTTAACACTTTAAGGAACTGCAAGGCAGAAACTTAAAACTTACTTATTCGAGATCACACTATGAGGAGACGACGGAGAACTAACAGACGATAGATACTGAGGAGTTTCACACCGAGGGAAGTGCTCATTTTCTGTTTCCAAATAAGTATTGGACTCCCCGTGTACAGAATATTGACACACATTGTTGGCCACCGTGAATCTGATTTTCGTTTGCCTGTAGGAGTACCAAAGTAATTTGGATAAGTTTCAAATACCGTATCCTGACGAGAGCTGAAAACTTAAGCATGAGGGAAACCAATAAGATTGGCAATCCTTACAGTTCCCACCACTACCAGTGTGCTTCCAAACGATTCGTATTCTTATTAAATTAGAATTATTAAAAGGTACCGTCAGTTTCGAAGTGTTTTCACATTGTACACTCACATTTTCGAAACGTCCGCATTAGGTGGTTTATGCGTAATAAAAAAGGAACCAGTTTCGTTTGGCTGCAAAAGCAAGTTCTTGGGTTGAACCACGAAGTATTTCGAGGTTTTTCCAGAATCCGTATCCACAAATGATGCAGACACCTGCACCGGTATATTTCCAACATTGATAACATTCATCGGTTTGCTCTGCTTGTTGGAAACCACAAAAGGCTTATTTGTGTCGACTATTTGTATCTTGAATGTTCCTACTTGTACAACCAGGGGTATTTCTTTGATTATTATGGTGTCATCAGGGCCGTTTTCCGCCTGGATTATTAAGTTGCCATCGTAGCGTTGTAGTTGTAATGATCTTTCAGAAATATCTGAATGGTTTTGTAAGATACCAATGCACTGAATATTTATGATCATACTTTCTTGTGGTTTTAGCATCACTCGTTGCAATTCATTAGAATTTTCCAGGCCAAATACCCGTGGCTCATCCTACAAAAACATAAAATAATAATCATAAAAACGAACCTTAAAAAAAATATGGAATATTTTTATATTTTTTATTTTTAATCACCTGTAATATAGAAAGTCTAATTGATACATCAATGCTATTTTTATTTGTAATTGTGACGGGAAGAACAGCTGTGCTACTTTCAACAATGGACTGAAAGTCTAGTTCGTGTTTCTGAGAAGGGTTTAAAATGCTTATATTTAACTCTTCAGGCTTGAAGCAAATTATATGCTTCATGATCCATTCAGATCTGGTTACCATGTCTGAGACTGTAATGTTTAACACTGCTATAATGGGTTTAGTCATTTTCACCACAGTCACTATAATCTAAAACGGATTAAGTTAGACAGATTAGTTTTTATACAATAGAAAATTCATCTTTTCCTTTACCTTAGCGTGTTGTTCGGAGTTCGGTTTAATGAGTATGACATCTTTTGGTAATACAAGTCGAACATTTTGCTTGTCTCCTTGAATTTGATTTATACTTAATGAACATATGACCCATCTGTCACTTTTGTTGAGTAATTCGATATCAGTTTCTCTTGGCATACCGACAATGCAACTGCATAGTTCCTCTGTACTTTTACCAATGACAACATCTGCAAGAATAAAGGGTTAATAACTTAATAAAATTAAACATATAAGAAATTACAGTCATTACACTGTCGTAATAGCATACTATTTAACTGAGATTCAGTTCCTTGGGAATTCGAAAGGTCTTGTACAAAAGACTCTGTTTTATCTTTATGAGAAGTATTTTCCTCCTTGATATTCTCTTTCTTTCCTATGCCCTCGATTTCTGAATTACCAGATCGTTTCTCTTGTTTGTGTTTCATATTAACTTTTGAAATACAAGGTGACATGTTTTGCTCTTTACTGTGACGTGAAAGAGATAATTGAGGGTCTTTCAACAATGATTTGAAATCTAAAATTGATGATTGTTCTTAAACTAATTCAAACAAAGGAATTGTATTACCATTTTTATAAACTGATATATACCTTGGCTATAAGAAGATGTAAAGTTTACATTACTTATTTCCTTTTTCAGTTCCTGACAAGCAATCCCGAAATTTGCTTTTGCACCTGCATTGGAGTTGAAAGATAGCATGCTAGAAACTGACTGTTTAACATTTGCCGTTTCATTCGGAATTTTACTATCTAGTGATAATTTTGAAGAAAGATTCAATAATCCCATATCTTTATCAAAATTCTCTTTGTTTCTACATGGGGTCGCAGGCATAGACTTTCTATTTGAAGGGATTAATGTATAAGTGTGTCTATTTGCATTTGCTTCCGTTGCTTGTGTGGATTTCTTCTTCTTTTTTGCCATTATAAGTTGATCAACCAGTCTTCGTGGTGTACCACTGTCAATATCCTCTAATGCCTGTGCAATGCTAGTTAAACTCATAATACTCTGCTCTTCTATGTCTTTCGTTGTGCTTGTTTTATTTTGTAGAGTTTTATCTTTCGTAACAAACGAACCAACCGACGATGCTACAAAGAGTATGGATCACTTAGAGACTTTAGACAATGCGTATTTCGAATAAAATGTAAATAATGATGTTACATCAATAAAAAAATAAATTAGCAGTACCTTCTGTCATTATAGTCGAATCAACCAATGGTACATGTGTACCATTCTTTTTAGGACTATTTATAGATAATCCAAAACTTGGCCTTTCAACCGCACCATCCGACAAGTGCCCAAAATTTCCGCATTTCCTTTTGAAGAATTCATCAACAGACACCTTGTACCCGGCACAAGATCTAAAATGTAGTCAGTCCATGATCATAATATAAAATGACAGTTACTCTAAAAACTTACTCCACTGATAAATCCAGTTCACCGATGATACCCGAAAAACAGGATAGATTTAAATATTCCTTTTCAGCAGAAGTTGTTGGAAGAGCATAAGAGTAATTCTGCTGCCAAGATACTTCATCAGCTAGCATCTGACTGGCCATTTCGGAGGCAGGTCGAAATTCTTCATTATTAAACTGAGCCATTATTTCAGCAGTAGTTGAATCAAATGTTATTGCATTCACATTTTTATTAGATAGAGTTGATAAACGTTTCGCCGAACCTCTGCTCAATCCAGACGAGCGTGCGCTTATTTCGTTTGGTTCAAAGATAACCTAAGGATGCAGTTGTATAGAGAATATTTTCTAAAACAGTTCATTTCTACAAAGTAATACCTACACTATTTGTTTTATTACCAACTGAATGCAACGTGCTTTCATTTTGAGCATTCATCTGATTAGAATGCCTGGATTTTCCTTGATCAACAAGACTTGGAGATGTTACATTACTGGATAAGTTTTGAATATTGGCATTATTTTCTTTGTTTGTGTCTGCAATAATTATCAATAATTATATACATGACTTTTAAAAGATGTATATACGTATACAGATGTATTGAGTCATTGTAAAAGTTTGGATAAAATTTTCTTAAAATTAATGAAGAAACAATTATTATACAAACTAATCTATGTAATCAATGATATAATGTTTATTTGCAATTAATTTCTTCAAACTCTCTGATGGTATCAAGTGTATTAACATTTTTTCTCATTGTACTTTGTTGAAACAGATTTATACATACAAATTACAAGTGAATCGAAACTTGTACAATGATCCAACATACATATTTTACCATATACAGCAGATGTAGTCTTAATGTCACTACATCTCTGAAGTAGTTTCCTAGCAATCTCACGTTCCATGTCTAATTTACTCTCATTTGGTTTGTCTACCTCTCCTATTTCGCTTACCTCGGCTAGAACTAAATAAAGTATTACTGTATTATAACAAGTATCAACACACGTAGTGCAGGAGAAAAAGAAAACTTACAAGAAGATATATTGTCAAGTATACCAAGGGACGACTCATCTGATTTCTGTGTCACATCATTTTGATGCATCGCAGACTGTTTATATATTACCTCGTTACTATCCTTATTAAGGAATTTACTTTCCAATCTGTGAAAAATATTATAATTCTCTTGAATGAGAAATGCTGTAATTATAGTCTATTAAACGGAATAAATTTAATAAAACAACCACAAAAGTTATTTACGATTTAAGTTACATAAGATACACATTTCGTGAAAGGATCATACTTAATTCAAAAATATTTTAGAAGATACAAAGACAAAAAGAACTCACGTGCTTTTCCTTTGTACAGTCGAAGTTGCTTGCGGTCGAGGAGTATTTAGTAAAGTCACATCGATAAAATCCGCCCCTGTGGGCTTGGATGATGTAAACATCGTCGAAAACTTTGTTTATTCTATAATTCTAATACGTGAATACCGTTTAAGAAAAGGAAACCTGCGTACGAAAAATACTCAGCGACGTGTTAATCGCTAAATTGAAGAAACAAAAGGAAGATTGTACCATATTACTTTCAACGTATTGTTTGACTGTTGACCGATTTCAGCGTTCAAATTTGAAAATGTTTCAAGATAATTTTATCCATAGATAAATAATATACCTTCTAGATTGGGGTCACATTATTTTTATGTATCATTGCACAGCGTCATTCATGTTTAGATTTATGAACTACAAACACAAGTGGGATATTTGAATTTTACTTGTACTCCTTGTGCTGCTGTATTATTTTATTACCTGTTATAAAAATGAACATAATTTATTAAAAATTCTTAACATCTAATCGCGGTTTATAATGTTACACATCATTGACCTAATTTTATAACGGTTCACATTTGTTCGCTGACACTAGCGTTTTAGTTTAGTTAATAATGGCACCGACTAGGTATAGGATAGACCTATCATCTTATGGGACTTCGTGTCTCATGTTCTGAAATACCGATAGTGAAACAACATAAAAGTGCATGATTGTGAATGATTGTGAATCACACTGTTTTGGTCTGTTTGTCACGATGCCGTGAATAAAATCGTATGATAACTGATATTCAATTGTCTATGGTATTACTGTTTCAAAATCAAAAATGTTTTTCTAGTTATGGAGTACCTATAAGGTCCGTAGATGAAATTATACTTTATACTGCTTTATACCCTGTAACTCGCAGTTCCTTCTGGTTCCTTCTCAGCCTCAGGTTATATTTTTTGCGCTAGTTATCTTACATTTTAGAATTTATATGAAATGTTCTAATGTTAATGACAATATAATGGAAGAAAATATAATGACAATGCCGGAACAAGAACGGTTAAGTTATGAAAATAAAGTTATATTGGCACCTATGGTGCGAATCGGCACACTTCCTATGCGCCTTCTTGCGCTCGATTATGGTGCTGATATAGTATACACGGAGGAACTCATAGATTGGAAATTACTACGATCATTTCGTCGTGTAAATGGTAAGAATGCGAATACATGACAGCGTAATAATGTGTTTTTTTCTTCAAGTATAATTATCTTTAACAACTATATTCTAGATGTTCTGGGAACAGTTGATTACATAGACAAAACAGATGGTACCGTGACTTTTCGGACCTGTCTCAGAGAAAGAAATAAAGTGGTCCTTCAAATTGGAACTTGTGATGCTGCTAGAGCTCTGAAAGTAGCCAAAATGGTAGAACAAGATGTTGCTGGAATAGACCTCAATATGGGATGCCCAAAATTGTTTTCTATGTTGGGGAAAATGGGTGCCGCTCTTCTTCAGGAACCAGAAATGGCAACCAAAATTTTGAAAACATTAGTTGATAATCTAAGCATTCCAGTAACATGTAAGATTCGTATACTGCAGGATGTAGAAAAAACTCTGGAACTCTGTGAGCTTCTAGCATCTACTGGTATATCAGCTATAGCAGTTCATGGTAGGACTGTTAATGAAAGACCACAACATGCTAACCGTAATGAAGTTCTGAAAGCAATTTCCAGTAAACTTTTAATACCAGTTATAGCAAATGGAGGCTCAAAAGATGTACAAAAATATTCTGATATATCAAAGTAATACCATAGTTATTTTTCTTATTGATTATTTATCAAATATTTTGAATGTTCTTATTTGTACAGTTTATAAGTAATTATAGTTATTTACAGATTTAAGGAAGTCACAGGGTGCAGCAGTGTCATGCTTGCACGTGCAGCCCAATGGAACTGTTCTATATTTTGTAAAGATGGTTTACTTCCTATGGAAGATGTGATAAAGGCATATATAAAGATTGCTGTAGATTGTGATAATTCACCTTCCAATACGAAATATTGTATACAAAATATCCTTCTTGAACAACAAGAGTCAGCGCTAGGTAAAAGATTCCTGAATTCCCAAACTTTAGAACAGATATGGTAAGAATATCAGGTATTGTGAAATACCTTTATTTTACTAATAAATAAACGATAAGTGTACTATTTTAGTGCTGTTTGGGAATTGAGTGATTACTGTTGTTCAAAGAGAAAAGAATTTGAGGAGAAAGGTTTACAAGGCAGATCTCAAGTGTCGCCTATGAAGGAGGATGAAGTACAGAATGAGGATCAAGTGTCCAATAAAAGGAAATTTTCAGGAGAAGAAGATGTAGTTCTTATGCATTGTGCATTCTTAAGAAATAACTACCTGACAGATCTTGAATTACCCTTCCGATCCGTCGTTACAGTTGACGGAAGAAAGTTTGGGTCATCCTTCTGGTAAATAAATGAATATCTCGCATTTTGTAACAATTATGCAATATTATTTTTCGAAAAATTTTAGGGAAAAAAACAAGAAATGGGCGGAACAAGGAGCTGCGTTAGTTTGCCTGTATTCGTTAGGTCTACTCAGTGAAAAAGCTCTGGTTACTACGGGAAATGTAATTTCCTGATGTCCAATAGTTGAAAGTTACAGAGAATTAATTAAAACTTGAAAATATTTCACCCATGTATATAAAACTCATTCATATTGGTTTTGATATCAATGAAACAACGTTTTTGTTACATAATACTCTAATGATTATATTTATTAATAAAAAGATAGACCTACTTTCGGCATATGTTTCTTTCAAATATGTAAAGATGTAAGGGTGGCAATAGGGGGCTACATTTTGTTTCTGTCGTTGCCTTCAAATAAAATGGATACATATATAAAAAATTGATTTTGTACAAACAAAATAAACCGTTAATTTATCTGCTTTATATTATAAAATTTTTGTTAAGATAATATAAAAATATATGAAATTATAGTGATTGAATCTTTTAAATGTATGTGCACCTATACTAAGGGTGTGCGGCGGGCTGCTCGTGTATCGGATGCCCGAGTACTCGGGTCGGGTCGGAAGAAATCGGGCGGGCTTGGTCGGACGTCCGAAACATACGAACTTACGAACATCCGCACCCCCGCACGGTCATAGGACCGAGAGTCCGAGCCGACGTAATCGGATCGGGTAGTCCAGGGTGTCCGAGCAAGTCCGATGCCTTCAGGTACTTAGTCCTGGTGATTTCGAAGTTAATACAATTAATTATGAAAAACTCTACATATAATTATGAAAATATAAAAACATATATCAGTTTCAACCCGTTTGTTCCTGAGGAACATTTTCATTTCTATTACTGTATACACTTGTACACATGCATGGCAAACAAGCACTATGCGTTGCCTATTTTCAGGTGCACATAAGAAAGATTAAAACAATATTGAGAACTGTTAAGCACTGTTGAGAACCCCTGACATAATAGGAAATGAAAATAGAACGATTGTAAATTATGTATGGAATTTAATCGTGATAGAGGTAAAAAAACTAAAAATTTTTAAAAATTGATGAAGACATACACCATACATACATTACGTTAGCAAAGAATAAGAATAAATCTTATATTTAATTATCGTATTGAAATTACATGAATATTTGAGTGAACAGTTAACCAAATGTAATTTCTTCAAAGATTATTTAACAAAGTTAGGGTAAAAAGAAATTGCAAGAAGAAGTAATCTGTGTCTTCCTAATAATATAAGAATAAAGTATTTAGATACTGAATGAATTTACTTATTGTGACAAACCTGCTGAATGCATTGTAGGTTATTCAAATTATTGCAAGAGAATTTTTGAGTACCTGTCAGTTACAGAATGGAAAGAGGAAGTATCCAACTCAATTGTCGTGAAACAATAAACCTTATATATTTATAATAGAAAAAGAGGTCTTTCAATTTTCTGTGATAAGTACCGAATATATTATCCATATTATACATATTGTTAAATATTCTGTAAGAATGAATCCACTGTTGAAAATATTTTTATCCTATTGTTGGGGAAACATGTATTTAATAATTGGACTAAGTATGGGCTTAAGTGTCAGCATGATGTCAATATCAATCAATATGAATGAATATGATAGCAATACAGAGCATCAAATGTCATATTCAAATTACCAAGAAGATTTGGATGAATACGAGCCAAAGATAAATATCAACAGCAAACCACAACAAGCACAAAAAATACCAAAAACTCTGATACGACCAAGATATTATTCTACAGAACTTGGAATCAGGGAAAAATTGTTCGTAGGAGTAATCACAAGTCAACAATATTTATATAGTAGAAATATTGCAATTAATAAAACAGTGACTCACATTGTGGATAAAATACGATATTTTATTTCTATACCAGAAGGAACCAAACCTAATGTTACTCTTCCTGGTATAGTTGGGTTCACAGACACTAGAAGCATTTTGAAACCATTCCACACTATGAAATATATAATCGACAACTACTTAGAGAATTATGATTATTATTTGTTGATTAAAGACATAAGCTATATCAATGCTAAGAAATTAATAGAATTTGTTAACAAGATCAGTGTGAGTCAAAATGTACATGTAGGTGTCCTTGGAGATATTCCAAGTTATTGTTCCTTAGGTAAATGGATTGGTGTTGAAAAATCAAGCTACCAGCATTATCATAAGATTAAAAAAAATTCATTATCAATTTTCAGATTCAGGAATTCTCTTGAGCAATTCAGTAATACAAGAATTAAAGAACAACTTAGACTGGTGTGTAAAGAATGCTTACTCGGATTCGGACGATGTTAATTTCGGTCGGTGTATTGTTCATTCCTCGTCAACACCTTGTTCTAATCATATACAAGGACAAAAGTTTCAGTATACTGAATTAAAACCCACGTTCTCATTTGAACAAGATTTTAAAGATTTAGCCAGGAACCGACAGTTTTTAAATTCATTTGTAATTTACCCAATATATGATCACCTTCTTATTTATAAATTCAACACTTATTTTGCAGCGGTAAGATTGTTTAATAATACAGCTAACTTGTGGAGCTATGTAAACTTAAAATGATATTTTATTGTTACGATATATTATTCATTCATACTGTATATTGCTTTTAGATGAAGTCCATTGCAATTGAAGACAAAATTTCCAATATTAGGAAGTCAATTTTAAGTATGGAGCATTTGGGTCCATCCCAAGAACATGATGTTTCCTGGCCTGTTGGTAACCAGATGGGAAATAGGGCCTCCGGACGTTTTGATATTTTACGGTGGAAATATTTTAACGAAACTCATACGTTCTTCAGTACAGATTTTTCAACTGTACAGGAATTAAAAACTGATGCAAAATTCGATATTGACAGAATAATTAATGTGACAGCCTCCAATATTATTGGTAACTCTCAGCGCAAATTAAAATTTAAGAAGTTACTAAATGGGTACCAAAAGTTTGATGCATCCCGCGGAATGGATTACATACTAGACTTAGCTTTTATTGACATAGTAAACGGAAAAGAAGTAAGAAAAAGAATCGAAGTATGCAAGCCTCTTGGTAAAGTTGAAATTCTGCCTGTTCCATACGTGACAGAAAATACAAGAGTAAATATAATATTGATTATTGATTTGTCAAAAAAACAAGTTGCATTAGACTTCCTAGAACAATATGCCGTAGATTGTATGGAGAAAAAATATAAAACTTTTCTTATGGTGGTTGGTATCTCTATAATTCTTTTTGTTTAGATACTTTTATCGAAATTTTTTCGAATTCTGTAATGCTTTTGGTTTTCGTATAGGCTCTTTTGTATAATTATGGTTCTACCTCAAAAGGCAATGGAGATATATTTTATGATATTAAACAATATGCGTTAACATTGGCTGATAAATATAAAAAGTATCAGTCAAAAATCACTTGGCTCTCTATTCGTCTACCGAGTAACGTAGCATCCATTGAATTGGACCCCATATTAAATATTGCTGTGACAGATTTGTGTATTAAAAAATTTTCACCCGAAAGTTTGATATTATTTGTTGAAACGGGGATACAGCTACGGTTGGATTATTTAAACAGAGTACGTATACTACCTATTATAACGGATTTCTGTTCGACAGTACAAACTTATTGGTGTATTAACGTTTAGATCCGTATGAATACTATCAACCAATATCAGATATTCAGTCCAATTCCCTTTGTCGAATTTCACCCTGACATTGTTCATATGAACGATGTAAAACAAGCTGACACCGACATCAATCGTAATCATGGAAGATATGACGAATATAATTACAATAATATTGCCTTTTACGTCAGAGATTACAATACAAGTAAGTGCTTGAAAAAAAAGATTTTCATACTGTTTCCTATATTTGGTTGTCGAAAAAAACAATTCCCTTGACAACTACCTCCGCATCTCTCATTCCTTGAACAGTCAACTTTTTTGATACTTCGTGTAATCGTTTAGCAGAACATATAAGCGATAATCAAACACGTTTAAATGTTACAGTGCGAAGAACTGCCGAGAACAGCATTCCAATAACACACTCCGATAGGGATATTCCTTCTATTTTAAAGCCATCAAAGGATCTACCTGCTATGTCTTTATTCGAAATGTTTGTTTCTTTCAGTAATGTACACATTCTACGGGCGGTAGAGCCAGCCCTAATAGTCAAATATAAAGATATCAATTGCAATAGTACCTACAACAATAATATTTTCAAGCTGTGCACCCAGTCGAGGGATTTTCATTTAGGTCGACGCAGCCAAATTGCTAGATTGATATTAGATTACCAAACTTATAAAATCCATTTATTCACATGAATAATATTTAGCGAGAAAGCTCGCATAGAATATTGTGAATCATATTATTAGTATACACGTATAATGAGATACGTATTATAATGAGTACTTTATTAAATTTATACATTTCATTTAAATAAATATTTTGTAAGTAATACAGTCGTTTAATCGATTTTGTGCACACATCACATATGATATTATATATTCTGAGGCGAAATCGTGTTGGGCTAACCAATCGGATGCATCATGTATGACATTCAGATACCAAGAGCGTTTCGAAAACACAATGACAATTTAATTCAAGATTAAACAATCAAAAACTTTGCCACATTTCTAGGAAATACGTAAAAGAGTTTGGCAAGATTTCTACCTTCAAAGTATATAAGAAAGTAAAGATCATATAATTACACTAAATATTAGTCAATAGTAATTGTACAATCCCTAATACCTTATAAATAAATGTACATACACTACATTACCATTTGTATTTGTTACTTTTTCTATATATTTACTGCTTGAAAAAGCAAAGGTTCGCTGTGTACCTGTATACAGCGTAACTTACTGCAGTACATATAGAATATGTGGTGCCTGCTTTTAAACTCATTGTACACATTTTTTTCTGTGATATGAAACAAGTTTTTTCATATTATCTTCATATATCTTTCGGTAGATTATAGCGATCGATATGCCCGAAAAAAACAATGTTTTTGGTAAAATGATCTTTAAAAGATCTTTTAGTACTTCTGAAAAACACTGTCTCAGTGAAAATTTATTAAAAGAAATAAAATTCTTAGGAGTTGTTTGCATATACCTTACCATTAATCATTGTCGGATTCTGAATCTGATAGTTGCAAGTCGTCGTTTAAAAGATTGTCTGGCATCAGTAATATAGGAGATGAAGTTGTGCTGTTCATATGTCCTGAAAAACAAACAAACTCAACAATTTTCAAATATAGTGTACCTATAGAATTTAAATAAATAATAATTAAGAAAATATTCTGGTACGCACCATTAGTTCCTGGCAACACTGGAACATTTTCAGTGTCAGAGTCACTATCGGAACTATCTGAACTAGAACTACTTGTAGTAGAATCACTAAGAGCACCTTCATCACTATCTACAGTTATAGGAGGTTTTGTGATTAATTGAGTATTCATAGCAGGAGACGATCTCAGAGGTGCAGAAGAATTCATAGTCGGGAATGATCCAGATGGCATCAAAGGGCAGTCATCATTATCAGAACCAATCATTGGCAAACTAGCCAAAGTTGGTGCAGCAGATGATTGCACTGGTGAACTAAAGTTCTGTGTTTTTAGTACGTTTAGAAAAAAATCTTAATATATTACTACAAGACTACTATGTAGAAAAAGATTAAGGAATTATTTGAAACTTCCTTTGGTGATTATTTTTTTTTTTTACTTATTTTTTAAATCTTGACCAGATAGTCAAAATTAAAGCTTCTTATTTTTCAACCACAAAGCCTTTCAGAGACCACAGATCAAAGATTCTAATATTAATTAACTAAATTCAGTGACCATTTACATTTAATACACAGTACTTAAATACCTATTGGTTGAAGTAGGAGGTGGACTTTTGCCATGATATGGAGAAACTCTAAGAGGACTGTACTGTTTTGGATGTAACTGAACACTAGGTTCTCTCTTCTTCCCACTTGTAACTTTTGTTCTTCCAGTCGCCCTTCCATGAGTGGGACTCCTTCTTGTTTCAACTGGAGTAATAGGTCTATTGCTACTATTTCCTCCAGGAACTCCTAAATGTGATTGAGACTTCGGTTCTGTTCTATAAAACCATATATGAATATATGTTATACCAAATATAAAACATCAGGATTCAATGCAATACACAGACAAGGTACAAAATCTAGTCATACCTAGTTTTCTTAACCTGTATGTTTGCAGTTAATTTCTCCAAAGTGATCTCCCCTGTAACTCTATCTATTATAAGAACGCACTCTTTATGGTATGGTCTTTGAGAACCTTTGAACACTGTGTGAGGGATTCCAGCACCATCCAAATGTGGCACAGTAACTGTCATTGTGTTATTAGCTCCAACATCGACCCTTGCCACTTTGGAAACATCAACACTAGCTGGCTTAAAATCATCTGGAAATAAAAAGCCAATAATTAGGAACGAATTTTAGAGACATGGGTTCGAGATTTTGCACTAACATTTCAGGGTGTGAAAAGCCGTCGATCTGTTGTTGGTGAACGTCGGTCCGAGCTTGAGTTCCCGAATTTCGGGACCCAAATCGAGCCGCTCTGCCATGTCACGCCCGATGCCTTGAAAGTTTGTTTCGGGGACAGAGGCGACTGATTTCATGTTATTCACTTTCGGTGAACGTAAACGCACTACGTACTCAAAGTACGACAAATCTTCGAGGAATCGGGACTACCTGTCGCGCGTTTTATTCGTCGGTCTGCCAAAATATAGCAGAGACGCGCACTTGCATTTTCCACTAACAGCTGCTTCGAAAGCTGCCAATTGCTACAGTTTCGGTGAACTCGTTCTGTCCTCCGCTCGGTCCGTTACGCGTTTGGAAATGATTATCATTAAACTGTGCTTTAACAATCAGTAAATCGGTATGGACGGGAAAATCGAGCGATATTATCGCAGTTCCAAAGAACACGATTCCTCGCTGACCTAAATAGTTCAGTCCGTGTATCTGCGCTTACGAAGATCCACACTTATGGTTAATTCGTTTGCGTTTGATAATATTGTTCGAGGATGCACTTTGAAAAAGCGAAATAATTGATCCCGAAGGCCCAAATGTTTAGTCGTTTTGATCGAATTCAAGATATATTACGGTCGATCCGTTCTTGAGTCTTCGGAAAATGCATTGCAGTGAACGTTTTAAGCAGTTTTAAGGTTCAACCGAAAATTAACTTTCCGAATGTATTATAGGAATTGAAGTATTATCATAGGATCTGCATTGAATACAGAACAATCCAGACAGGGTATGTGGTGGATGTGGGTATGAACTATAATATCTGTCGGAAATGACGTTCAGCAAAAACTATTTCCTGATTGGACCTTGAAACATATTACTTTAAATCTTCAAATTCCTGAAGACTGTATAGCCGGAATATACATCGCAACAAAGTGTTCATAACAATAGAAATTTTATACATATGTCAAAAAGTTAAAATATTGACTCTTTTAAGGCTAGTAACTTTTTAATATTCCTATTGTTGCGATATCGTGACATCGTTGTTGGTAATAATGATGTTCCTCATTGTAGGTAGAGATGGCGTGAACTGCTACTTGTGAATCACTCGTGATTCGATCACGTTCGTTCTCAATCACAATGATTCGTGATTTCCCGTGATCCTTTCTTATTGGTGGAGAAACCTAACAGTTCTTTACACGCGATACATAATTTGTATATTTCAAATTAACGACGTCAAAACAAAAATTAGGGTTATATCGTATAAAGTGAAGGAATAAGTAGAAACAATGAAGAATAATGAATAAATTAATGATTACAAATTATAATCTATATGTTACCTAGCAAATCATTTTTTTAGAATTTCTTGTTTTTTCTACTGATGTTTACAAACACGAATAGTAATGTAATTATCGTAAAATCATATTGAATACGTTTTTCTGTTTAAAGATTAATGACTTACGATTGCAGTGAGCAAATTCACCCAAGATAAAAAAATCGCAATCACGCTCGTGAATGAAGTTAAATCACGATCGTGATCATGATTCGGCGATCACTGTGATAAATCACCGTTAGTGATTTTGCACGCCATCTCTAGAGGTCATTGGTGGCCTAATTATAACATTTGGTGGTACTTGACCACACGTTCTCACAAGACGAGTCTCTGGCGCCTCCACCGGGGGTTCTGTGACCCCACCGTTTTCCTGCCATTTTGGATTCAGAAAAGTGTCGGACAAATTTGGGATTTATGGGGCATTTAGTGGCGTCCCACCACTTTGGTAGCGTCTTTGCGAACTATCGAAGAAGTTCTGGAATTAGTTCCAAATCTAAACCAGACCAAACCATCAGGATTTATGACGATGTTGACCTTCTGAGCATTTCATCGTGGAGGGACATATGGTTTTCCCAGGGAATTTATTGCACAGTTAAAAGCCGCCAAATTTGATACCACAAACGGATCTAACAGTGTAGAACCATTTATTTTCTTAAGGGTATACAAATGCAATAACCGTTCAATATATTAATACTATTCACATTTCATTTAAGGTCAATACCACAAAGATTTCAGTGAAACACATTGAGTATTGGATCAGATCAGTACTTGGAATATCGTAATAATAGCAAAATTCGTCTATGAAAAATCGTTCGAAAATAAATGAAGCAACCAAACTAATAACATTGTAATTACTATGTCGTAAACCTATTAATGTAATCATTAACAATTGTAATGTGGAAGCAATATTTATTAACAACTGATGTCTCCGTATCTGCTTGTCTTGTCGTTTTGGCTGCAGCTGGAAAAATATTGGCAAAACGCCAAAGGAAAGTACTATGAGCCAAATTGTTTCGTTAATTCCATATCCATTTAGGATACCAGCAGTAAACAATGCCAAAGGTGCAACATCAGTGATCTTGGAGTACCAATCATAGAAAATCCTTAAGTACTTCACTAAAGCAGGTGCTGATGTGATACATGGAACTCCTGGAAGCAACATTCTTAAAAATAATGTGTTTAATACTCAGCATACACAATACACTACAAATGCTACTATGGTAACAATGTTTTATTGTTCCTAAACAATGAAACTGGAAATGTATTTTTTTTATGTTTGGTAGTTTTTAGAGTTTCAGAAATGTTATAAGAGTATTGAATTTCCAGTACGTTCACCTTTACAAATTTAATAGGATCTGAGAACAAGACATGAAAGTATGCAAAAGACGGTACAATTTGTTCTCACTCTTTAAAAGGGAATATATAAACATAATTGTGTAGTTTTAAGATTAATTTCAGAATGAATATAATGGTTGGAACTTGCGAGAAATAATATGAATAGTAGATAGTTACTGTTAGTGCTTGTTATTTGTAACTGCTAAATCTTATATTAAAAGGCTTAGGAATAAATAAATTTTTAGATTTGAAAAATGTTTTTATACATTTTGATGGATAAGTCAATGTTTAATATCTGTTAAGTTGATATGTTAAACATGAGGTAAATGTACAATTATGTAAGGTGAAAAGGCCAATGTTATAACATTTTAATTCTACAGACGTTTTTTAAAATCTTTCTTCTCAGCATTATGGAGTTAAACTATAATTTTCTATGGGCAAAAAGTATAGCCATGCAAATGAGTTTCAGCACTAAACCAAGCCAAGATGCAAAGGCAGTTTATAAGTAAACAGTGCAGAAAGTAAAATAATTAATCTAAAAAAATATTAAATTCCATGAGAAAAGCATAAAAAAGAAGTTATGTGCATATATGTTTAAGCATATAAGCTTCTAGATATTAAATGCATATTTATTTGCATTAAAGTTAACCATTGTACTCAAGTTATAATATTATTTCTCACCTGTTCCAACGAAATGGAAATGTTACAAATGGTGAACTAATAACCTGCTTTCCTCCACTAGAGTTCTATGCTTAAAAGTATAATACGCTTATGTAGTTTCATACCAACTAATCCTCTGCATGACCCCCCATAACACATACATAAGTCGTAGTTTTAGGGGGTCTTGTACAGATACCGTTATTTTAACAATATACTAGGCAGATATCAAGATGCATAATATGTAAACTTCGAAGGGTACTTCCTTACCAAACCTAAGGATCCCTAGGATGGAGTGTGAGAGTAGAATTTGAAAGGCACGAACTGACCAGGTACTTGTTTTATCATACGAGATGCCAATAGCTTTCATGCAACAGACTGTCACGATTAATTTTGCTAGATGTGCTATGACGCCACTTGGACAAGCCATGGTCACCTTTTATTCACAGACACCTTATTTCTCGATAAAATTAATCTCGAGTAGTGAGATGTAATATGCTTAATCAAAAGTTCCATGCGATCACAATTGTAAATCGGCAATACTTATAGGAAAAACGTTAGTCTTATCGATGAATTGAGCGACTTCTACGAATTTCTTTGATACTTAAAAGAGGTTGCGATCAATTGGATCAGTAACAAGATATAAAGAGGTATGTAATAATAATCGCTATCGTACGCCGAATACAGAATAAAATCTCCTGTGAATGCCTCTGAATTTGTTCCAGTATGTTAAAACACAAACGTTTACATAGATAGCAGCACATCATATATATACTGTGTGGATAGCTCGCCTGCATGGTTCTATCTTGATCGTGATTTCATATGAATCATTTGATATCTTGTCCTTGATATGTATTGCATTAGTATACCGATTCACTCATTTAATAATGAACATACTGTTAAACAATTTCTATAAACGAATAGCAAAATTAAATTCTGGTTAAAACATTAAATTTTTCTTCACAATACTGACATAATCTATAGAACACCAGTAAAACGCATGCAATTGTAACTGACGAAACTATTAATGTTCCTCACAACTGTAAAATAAATAACGGTTCGGTGACCAATCCATTCGGAACTATACGTATATGTATACATACATATATGTATCCATACCATTTTCACTTGTAAAAATATTTCAAACTTATACTTTCATCATGACAATACATTTCCGCTAACTCTGTTTAGTTGTAACACTAGTTTTGTTAATAAGAGGATAATATTTAACGTGGCCAAGTTTATAAAATTACACACTAGCGTTCTATAGCTAGGTCCAATTAGATCCATCGTTCGGCAAGAGTTAATTAGTGAAAAGATATAGATATTTGAATGTAAACGATTTATGTATCTATATGTATAAGAAAAATAAGTTGGCAATGGCGAATAGGTTTGGCTTCGGTAAGAAAATGACTTCAGGTTTATTACATAGAATAAAAAATTGGGGGTACGGTGGAGGTCAACGTCTTTTCTTCCGTTCAAAGCGACAACATGACTACCTAATACATCACCGATGCGCGTTCCCAGTTCTGCTAAAAGTTTTGCAGCAGTACTGCAGTGTTTTTACCCTTGACAACTTGTCGTGTAATCGCGGTAAATGTTCGTGCGCACTCGACGTGAAATCGTTACACCACCCTAAACTCTGCACGAACTTCAAGGCATTGGAAATTTGGATTTCGTTAGTATCAGTGGTTCTCAGACTGATCTGTCCCGCAAAAATACATTCCTAGCGTGCACTTTTTTAGAAAATTTTTCATTAAAAAAGCATTTATATTATGCATCAAATACAATATAAACGAAGTCGTTCAGAACTTTTAACAAGTGGCTCGTATTCCTTTTTAGGTAACGTGAAATTCTGTTAGTTATTCATGAGTACAATTTTGCGATCATAGATAACTTTATCATGACGGATGTATTTGCATTTTAATCGATAATACAAGAAAATTGATAAATGAACAGAATTAATAAAAGAAGTAATCAAATGAATTGATCTTTAGATTGAATTATTATGATTGTAAGAGTTTAAATTCTGTATAAATGTGACTCCAGTTTATCGTTCGTATGTTTAAATTTGAAACTCTCACAAATTGCTTCGTCTTGTCTAGTAAGTGCTGCCATCTACTGCGTCAACAACCTTCGAATATTTGGCAGATCGCAATCAAGAATACAAGCATACTGAAGCATACACGGCTCTAACACGCCTGTGCCCGAGGCACTTAACGTTTATGAGCGCTAGTTTCTACGAATGTCAACAAAAAAAAATGTTTTTACGAACGTAACGATATTGTTTAAGAAGTACTTATCCCTCCCGTGTCGTATTACGACGACGATTACTCATAATCATTGTGTCATGATGCTTTTCGGCACGTTTTGTTATTACCGTTCGGTAAACGATACAACCGAAATGTACATGTCATGCGTTGTCGTTGATTTTGTAACCCGTGACAATAACGGTATCGTTTACACGCAACGATTTTACGTCTATAAATATTAATGGCCGCTTTAACATGGATTTTCGAATTCCATGCAAGTATTCAAGTCAATTGCTAGATAAGCTTTCCACGGTTAGAAATGCGCTGTCTAAAATTAGAATTTTTGCGACATTTTTACATTGGCCGCCAGAAATACTGTTCTTATATTAAACGAGTCTGTTTGTGATGCGTGCTGAACGGTAACCGAAAAATTAAACGATCCTCGAGAAATGTCACGTTTCGTAGATAAGGATTCTTAATTTGTGAAATTCTGCACAAATTTCATTCGTGATAACGGATTCTTTTCAACGATATTACGTAACAGGCACTTCTGTCAAATTTATATAATATTGTTTTCTCCTCGTTCACAGTCTTTCACGCTATCACCGACGAGGTATAGGAGTATTACGTAGGTATAGTCGTATACCTACCTCGTCGGTGACGCTACTGTTGGCATCGTACAAGACGTTTCAACATATGCCGTGTAAGGCAAGAAAAACGGTGAAAAATGTTATTATTCCGGAACTAAGTTAAAAAAAAAAAGAAAGTCAATTTTTTAAATTGGTAGGGTACCACCATGGTGGCGCCACCAGTTGTAACGCATCCTGTATGTTCTTCGTTTTTTTCTTCTCTTACCCTTAGAGATAATTCTCTCCTCGTATGCATATGTAGTATACACAATGGAAAATCCAATGGTGTTGCGTAATATACATACATACGATGTGAAATAGGATGCACTTTTCCTGTTTGGTACCTCGTAAAATTTGTCAAATTCTGACGAATAACGTACAGCAGACAGACCTGTATGTTTGGACCACTTTTCAAATAACATTATTTTAAAGTTACACGATAAGATTATTAAACATTAGTACACATAACATAATTTCGCATTATAGACAGTATACATTAGTTATTCAAGAACGGCCGGTTCTGTCATTTGAAACGTTTGTTTTAAAGTTTTTATTTTAAATAAATTTCGTCTAGGTCCGATAACAATTACATACACCCGACCACAGATACATGTATTATTTCTCTTCGGCAACGATACCAGACTCGGGGGAAAATGTAAATCATTGGTGTTCGTTTGAACGTAATTTTGTCATTTATTAGAATTTCTTTCTTCTCTACTCTGCTTTTGTCGAGCGTACTCGTCGTAGCTTAAAAATAATTAGGCACTCGAGTGCACGTTTTCAAAATGAAGTGAAACACTTAAAAGATTAACCAGGATTCCAAGACGGGTGGAAAATCTTCTTGGATTCAAATTGCAGAAAAGTCTCGGTAAGTTTTTCTCCTCTCGCGCGCGCGAAACTCTTCAATCTCGATCGAAACAACGAGGGTAGGCCTTAATGAACTCCATTCTCGGATCCTTAAACGCGACGTAAAGTCGTTAACTTTATCGGAGTAATATCAAGTATATTCAACGAGGTGACGACGGCGCAGCGCGTGGAAATCCGAGTGACCGAACGAGAAACATTTTCCTCTAGCTTTTCGGATGTCCGTCTATTTCGTGCGATGCATTGGTTATACAATTGTCTCTTTTCTCCCTTCTGAAGAACTTTAAGCCCTGTACGTGGATGATTTTCAGGCATCTGAGACACGTCAATTACAGTATCTGTACAGAGTACTCGCATTTTAATACGACTTCCGGTCGGTTCGCTCAATATTGTCACGAGTAACATACGATATGTGGCTTCGCGGAATAATCCTTGGAGGTGGTTTCATTTAAAAATTATAAGTGTTCTCTTTGAATATCGTTTCCTGTCCTTGAGGAAGTTGAGGTGCATCCGAAAATTTTCCATGGATTACGTAAACAATTTGTCGAACAGATGTGCACGTTACACGCGGCACGGTGGATCAAAAAGTAATTTATACGCGCAACAAATACTTAGAAAAAAAAATTATATAAATTTCTAGATCGTGTAACAAAAATTTCCATTAGTTTATCTTATCTTCCACCGTGGCAAACGTCCAAATAACGTGGTATTATCAATCATAATACCGAATTAAATTGTCAATTTCGACCATTCTCCGTGGTTCTAGACATTAAACAACCGGAAATTGATTTTCGCTGCTGATCGTTTCATTTTTCTCATTTCGCGTTGATACACGATCGTATCACGTTGGGGATACCGTTCCCCAGACGTCGTTACAACGCGCGGCCAGTCGATATGATACTCGGAAATGACGATATCAACAACTTGACCAATTTAAATCTCCTGCCACGCGGGGTCTGGCAAGTCGTAGAATTAATTCGAATGAAGTTTTCCATCGTGTGACGCGGATCTCCTCATCCCAGCTCTATAATTAATCAAATTACAAATAAAAATGTATCTGTTGGAGCATGCTGACGTGGGATTGTAAAGGGGTCGCGTTAATTGCCAGAGACAAGAGATACGAGGTGCCGTGTTACCATCGTGTTCGTTACGACCGAATATTAAACAGAAATTGTTTTATTTATCATTGAAATATGATACCCCCACAACGCGACACGTGTGTGTGTGTGTGTGTGTGTAGATACGAAATCAATGTCCAACAAGTAGCGAAATACCAGTTGTAATGCATTTCCTCGAGGAACCATCCGATCAATGCGTATCGCGCTCGAGTCACGCGGAATTCATGGTGTACCCAGACAATCTCAATGAAAAAATGCAAACAAAACAAAAAACCACAAAAGAAATGCTGTGCTGTTAGGAAACGAATGTAAATACTGAAAAAAGAAGTCGCGTAAGTTTTTAGCACAAATGTATCGTTTACACACAACGAGAGAACACGATCGGCTCCCGAGGTCGCAAGAGAAAACAACACATGCAGGTAGTTTCCATTCAGGTACTTTAATAAATATGTACAGTTGAACTTAATTTTTGTTGAACGTATAATTATTACTATTGGATGAAGTATATGTATATCACGTTTTGAACACGGGCGGACTCTAGCATCATCCTTTCGAATGACCGTGAAACGCAGTGAAACGATTCAACATCGAAC